TTCTGCTATGGGACCCTAGGGCCTATATCCAGTCTAGAAATCCTACAAACTACCATTTTCAGCATATTTCCAATAACTTTTCAATTTGGCACCCAAGGATTTCCCCTGGTTTCTTTGAAACTTGGAAATGTATTAATTACCTTTTGGATATTGTATTCCAACTGGCACATTTCTTATATTTATAGGGATATGGTAGTCCCACCTTATCTGCAGGGGATACATTCCAAGATGTTCTGCAAATGTCTAAAACCACATAGTACTGAACCCTATATATGTATACTATGTTTAATAAGGTTTAATTTATAAATTAGGCATAGTAACACATTAACAACAGTAACCAATAATAAAATAGTTATAGCAATTGTAACAATATATCATAGTAAATTATTTAAAACATATGAGTTGCTTACTTCTAGAATTTTCCATTTAATATTTTCAGAGCTCAGTTTGCCATGAGTAACTGAAATCCCAGGAAATGAAATAATGTAGGTGGGGAACCACTGTACATGACATTACACCTTGCCAGACATAGCTAACAATTCCTAATCTCTCTTTTTTAGTAAAGAGAGAAGCTGTGGAGTGAGATCCAGGGGTGTCCAATTCAAAAGTAACAGCATTATTTTTATTATATTTAATTTATGTGACCATGTATTTTAGGTGAGTGGTTTAAGTTTCTGTATACACTGGTGACACAAACCTTCCTATCAAAGTAACTTTACATAAATAAATGTCACTTTGAAAGAAAAATATTATATAAATTGACAAGTAACAGATGACTCTGACAAAAAAAAACAACCCATAAAGATGGCACATTAATACCAAAGTTTATAGAATACTCAAAAGCATTTGATGTCCATCTGAAGCTGTTTCTCATTTATTAAAATGTTCTTTTATGCTTTAGCAACCCTGACAAGAAGTTATGTATTGTCAATGTGAGACTGGGGAATGGGGAAATGGGTTACTCAAATTAGGAAAGAAAATTTTCCCCATATTGTGAGTTAGCTATTCCCTTCAAAACAATAAAAGCTGTATAGGCAAAAGCTACTAGATGGGGGCTGGGGATGTAGCTCAAGTGGTAGTATGCTTGCCTAGCATGTGTGAGGCACTGGGTTCAATTCTCAGCACCACATAGAAACAAAATAAAGATATTGTGTTCACCTAAAACTAAAAAATAAAAAAAAAAAGTACTAGATGATGATACGGTAACAAATGACTCCAATGTCTCATAGCCAAACAGAAGGAAAATTCATTTCTTGTTCACATATCCCACAAGCTTTCATAGGGGATTCTGCTTACCACAGGCACTTAGAACCCTGCAAAGGTGGGAAGGAGGTGGCACCTACACTTGCTCATAAGTCTTCTGCCCAGAAGAGACACCTGTATTTCGGTTCCTTTTTATCAGCCAAACCATGTTACATAGCCACTATAACTCCCAAGGGGCAGGAAAGTGAAATATTAACATGTACACCAAAGACCAAGAGCCAGAAATATGGGTGAAGAACAATATAGCTACATACAGCATCAGTCAGCAAAGAAACCATAAAATATTTCTGTCTCATCCTCTAGGTGGAGACATATGGCTAGTTTAGCCACAGTAGAGTCAGACTTGTGTTTGTAACCCTCTTTGTTAGCTCCATTTTGTGTTCACAAGATCCAAAATTAAGCATTTGATATAGGTAGATAGGATATAACTACCTATCTTTTGGTTGGACAGATTCACTACCTAACAGATTCTGAGAGGCTTCCATAGCTTATCAGAAAACTACTATTCCAGAGGCTGAGAGTGTAGCTCATGGGTAAAGTGCTTGCCTAGCATTCGTGGATCCCCAGGTTCAATCCCCAGCATTGCAAGAAAAAATAAAATTAGCAGCCTGCTTCACTTCAAGTACTATGTTTGGTTTGGCCATTTCATTTCTACAAATGTTTATGAACCCAATGTATGAATGTGATTGAAGTATTTATAGAGTATGACTTAGGTTTCTCCCTAACTTACTTGTAGACTATTCTGGCTCAGATTTCTCCCCATCCCTAAGGTTTTCTTAAAGGTTCCCATAGCCCTCTTTAGTATCCATGGGTTTGTGAGAGCCCTTCCCTCCAATCACCCCGTCCCCATCACAACCTTCAGGTTTTCCCTTCCCTGGGTGCATGCCACCACTGGCTTTCCAGCACCTTCTTCACAGGGTCTCCTGCTCTGTGCTGAGAGGCAAAGGGTCTGTTCTCTAATGTCAATGAGTCTGAGGGCATTTATATACTCTAGAGATTTGTGATGTTGTAAAATTATCCCTTGCCTGGGCTAATACCCAAATTGTAGTAGCCTTGATTATGCTTTATCCAACCATGATACAGGTGATATTTTTTAAATGGGAAGTGGGGGGGGGGTTTAAACTCAATGTTCTAAAATTTACAGAGTGCTTTCATATGTATTATATTTATTTACCATAGACGCTGTGATGTTGGGTATTTGTTCTATTCATTTAAAATCCAAAATGGTCAGCTAATCTTCTTAGAGTCAATCAGCTTTTCAGTACTAACAGTGATCCATAACTCAGAACTGTGACCTCACATCTGAGACTCCTTTAGTAATTCCATGATGCTGTCCTTAACTCACAAGCATTTATAAAACCTGCAGAATTGAAGCTAATACTCTCTATCCATTTTAAAACCCTTCAAATTTATTTTGAGGTTCAGGCCTGCATTTTTATGTGCTCTGTCAGGTTGGTAGGAATCTGAGGTCTTTATTTATTTATTTATTTATTTTAAGGTTTACTCTTGGGCAGAAAACTAGAGAAATAATATATATGTGCAGTTAGGGTATTTCAGGCTCAAAAATTCTGCCTGGCACATATTTATTGATGTTTGTCTATACTGGATGCTGCAATAATAATGAATAAGACAGGTATGATTCTTATTCTCATGAAGCTTCAAATTCAATGGAGAAAGCAATTGTCATGGAAGGCAAAAAAGAGCTACAATGCAAAGCATTGCTTTTCTGTCAGTGCTTATTTTCAGGCATTGCACATTCTCCTTTTATTGGTAAGGAAACTGAGGCACAAAAAGATAAAGTGGTCTGACACACAGTCAGTGATGAAACTGAAGTTTTGAATCCAGCTGCTTTAAATAGCATTTTTGTCATTAATGGTACTAGAAGGAGGTTGATATAGGAGAATATACACAGATCGCTTCAGAAGACAAAAGGGTGAGTGTAAGAAAATCAAACTGCAGCAGCATGGGAAGCCAGACATCCATCCCTATGGGTCCCAGGACTTTCAAACCTGGGCCTGACATAAGACTTCTCAGTAGTCCCCTCCCCCACCCTACTGCTGAACAATGGGGTTCACTTCACCTCGTGTGGGGAGCTACACTGTGGCACAGGTTTTCTTGTTGCTGCATCATTGCTTTACTCACATGCCAGCCTCTTGCCCACTGTCTGTATTTCTCTTCTGCTAGGATCAGACCGATAGCCTTGATGTGTTAGGCAAGCATGGTCTCACTGAACTGCACCCCAGCCTTGCCCGCCGTCTTGATGTTAGGGGGCAGCTTTAGCTTTAAAGAACATTCAAGGTCAGAGTCACAGAAATTATGTAGAGAGAGAAATTCTCTGTGTTAGCTTTCTGTTGTGGTAAAAAGAAAAAAAAATGAGACAATCACTTTAAAAGGAAGAAAGGGTTATTTGGGCTCATGGTTTTAGAAGTTTCAGACCATGGTCACTTGGCGCTATTGCTCTGAGCCTGTGGTAAGGCAGAACATCATGGAGGGAATGATGGCTGGCAACCAAGCATGGCCATGAAGCTACGCACCTCATGGCTGCTGGGAAGCAAAGAAAGAGAGGAAGGGGGTGGGGGTCCAACACCCTCTTCAAGGTTATGCCTCAGTGACCTGACTTTCTTTCACTAGGCCCCAGCTCTTTTTTTTTTTTTTTCCCAGTGCTGGGGATTGAACCCAGAGCCTTGTGCATGCTAGGCAAACACTATGTCACTGAGCTACATCTGCAACCCTAGGCCGCACCTCTTATATACTATTGGACATGTTCCCACCACATCCTGAGAGTACCACAGGCTATCAATCAAGCTTTTAGCACATGGGCCTTTGGGGGGCATTTAAGGTCCAAACCATAATACTCCATGATGCTGTGTTTTCAGAGGGTTTGTGGGGTTGGCGGGCCAAGGCCTGGTGAGAGAAGCATTTATTCATTTTCTTGTGGTATTCTGCATCCAAACATCTCCATTATTCAGTGAGAGAACCATTTCCTATGCATTCAACTTGTGATTTCAATGATTAAAGTGAAGAGAGGAAAAAAAAACTGTGTGAAAAGAAGGTGTTAAGTTCAATTTGTTTAATTTCACTCACTTCTCTCCAGGGGAGCAGTATTTTCCTATTTCCCTGCAATCCTCTTACCAAGTAGGTGAATATAAATGGCCTGGGCTCAGCACCAAATAGACACAAGAGACGGTAAGTTGTGACCAGAGCCATCCTCCCCACCCAACATATATTCATGATGAACCTTTAAATATTCAAAAAGTGAAGGAACATAGCAGAGTATGCTGTCCTCTGCCCAAGGCAATTGAAGTCGTATACTCAAATCAACACAGGGGAGAAATACATACAAACTTGGGTCTTCTTTCCTCTAAAATATATATATTGCTTCTCTTGTTGAAAAAATACATATTAAATATTCCCCAAAATATATTTTCTTAGGTGTTTGTATTTCCAGTTTCTGAGTTTGGTCCTGTACTGTACTTGGGTGAGCTGGTAGGGGAAGGCATTTCTGTACGCAGGTTAACTTGGAGTTTGAGTTGCCCATGAAATTGGTGTTCATGGTTCTCCTTCACAGTTAACTGCAGAAACTCTATTCTAATTTGGGGTCACTTAACAATGGATTCAGTGCACATATTTGGCTTATTTCATTTGAGTTGAAAATCGTATCCAGTAATCTCTGGGTTTCCTTTTCAAAGAAAATAAAATCCCACCCAGTGTTTTACACTCTGCTTTGTTTTCTCCAGGCTACTGTCAGAGGATGTAGGAATGGACATCCCCTTTGAGGAGGGAATGCCAAGTCCTGATGCTGCAGACCTGAGGCCTGGTGAGAGAAGCATTTATTCATTTCCTTGGGGTATTCTGCATCCAAACATCTCCATTATTCAGTGAAAGAACCATTTCCTATGCATTCAACTTGTGATTTCAATGATTAAAGTCAAGAGAGGAATAAAAACTGTGTGAAAGGAAGGTGTTGAGTTCAATTTGTTTAATTTCAGAGTTGATTTGAATATTGAAACTCACTAGTGTGGGCCACATTTTATCACCTGGGCTGTGGCCCATGTTTTCAGTTCTTGTGATAACCAGTAGCTAGATATCATACTACCAAATTCTGGCTAGTGTCTAAGTTCCCCAAATTTACATGTAATTGTGTGATTGTTTAAAATTGGAAATATGATATCAAGAAAGCATAGTACCTTAATTATAAACAAACAAACAGGAAGGAGGTGGGGCGGGTGGAATTGTCACTCAGTGGTAGAGTACTTGCTAGCATGTACAAGGCCCTGGATTCAATCCCCAGAACTGTAAAACAAACAAAACAATAATAACCACAGAAAAATAAATAAATAAATAAATCCCTGGGACAATAACCTCATACTATAAGGATTTGTGTCTAAGGCAGACACACACAAAAAGACTAAAATTTTCAGTTGCAACCTACACAATTGTCACTTTGTACTAGAATCACTCTCTTGTACTGCACCAGCTACAATATCATACCAAGATCTAGAACCGTGGCACTATTAATCATGCCTAGAATGAGGTAGAGACAAAGGAAGTAATGAAATTTGTCTTCCACCCTAGTATTTGAAGTGCATTCTTCAAAATACTAGTTGTGAGATAATTATTTTTTAAATGTTCTAAGGCCAATGGTGACCACTGAAAGTTTCTTTTGCTCTTCAAGAGTTACAGTATACTTTTCTTTCAGTATTGGGGATGAAATCCAGGGTACTCTAGCTCTTGAACTATATTCCCATTCCTTCTCTTTTTATTTTTATTTTGAGACAGGTTCTCACTAAGTTACTGAGGCTAGCCTCAAACTTGCAATCTTCCTACTTCAGCCTTCTGAGTAGCTAGAATTACAGGCATGTACTAGGCCCCACAATATACTTTTGAATATTAAAGGTATTAAGGCTATGGTTAACCTATATGGTTAGCAGCTAAATTCATGTGGCTATTTAAATTAATTAAAATGAATAAAATTTTAAATTCCACTCTTCAGTTGTACTAGTCAAGTGCTCAGTACTACATAGAACATTTTCATTATCACAAAAATTATTTTTGACAACACTGTGCTAAAGATTCCTATAATATAGAATCCTAGTGTTTTTCAAATGTATTAGTCAGCAGAAACATTTTTTAAAGTAATACATAAAAACATTACATGGTACACAGTTTGGGTGATATTCCATGCAGAAAAGAAAAATCCTAATGATAAAGGAGTAGAACCAGTATCATTAGAACAGAGCCACAGTTAGAATTTCAGAGTTGAAGGGTATACCAGATAGCCTTCAAAATACTTTGTCCAGGGAAACCTGTTACTTCTGGTTTCAGGTAAAGACAAGAAACAATTCTCCTACTACACTCTTACGAAGAGTACTTCTATAACCAGATATTTAGGATTTTTCCTACATATACCACACAGTTCTCTAGAGGACACCAACTGGGTATCCTATAATGCAGTTCAGTTCTGACATTATCTACCTGAAGATAGTGCCAGTTCCTACAGGTTAAGGGCTTAGTCCCACAAGACTTCCCCTACTTCAGAAACCAATTTTAAATCCTAATATGGACCTGTACTTTTGACCAATTGGCTATAAATAAAAATATTTACAAATCCCTTCCTCAGGTTTAGTAGTTTGATAGGACAGCTAATAGGACTAATGGAAATATTTTACTTACATTTACTGGCTTATTATGGAGCATATTGTAAAAGACACAGATGAATACTCAGATGATGAGGTGCATAGGCATGTTTGGTCAATTTAAATTCAGAATTTATAAAAGCAAAAGATCCTTATTTCATTTTATTTATATATCTTGGGAATTGCAATTTGGGAAAATAAAGATTCAAACAGTTCTGAATGAGTGCTCCAAAGAAGTTCATGTTGTACAGGAATTTTAAAAGGAAGGAGAGCCGAGTGTGGTGGCACATGCATGTAATCCCAGTGACATAGGAGACTGAGACAAGAGGATCATAAGTTAAGGGCAGCCTCAGCAACTTAATGAGACCCTAAGCAACTTAGCAAGTCCCTGTCTCAAAACAAATAATAAAAGGGCTGGGGACATTTTCAGTGGTAAAGCACCTCTGGGTTCCATCTCCAGTATGAATGAATGAATGAAGAAAAATAAAATAAAGGGAAGTAGAAGATAAGGAGAGAGAAATCTTACAAGTTACATGAAAAGGAAGATGAATGGTACAGAAAAGTTATCATAACACTAGGATACATATCACTAAGCTATACATGATTGATCTCCACAACTATCTTTAGTGAAAAATTCATTTGTTATTTGTGACAGTTGCAGCTACAGCATGCATTAAAAGATGTTAGTGTTTTTTGCAGACTTGGCTCAATTCAAAAGTTTACATTTCCATGCCCAATTCAAGAGTTCACTTCCTCAGGTAGTAGCTCCTAATACCAGTAATTCCTGGTCCCCTAATGACCTACTAACTCTGCCTTGAAGGGCTCTGTAAGTGTTGCTTTTTGTTATGATTTTCTTATAGTTTTCATATTTTCCCCTTTTGATCATGACTGAAAGCATCAATAATCAATCTTTGTATTATATGTTGATTTTAAGTAGATCTGGTCCCTTGGATCTGGGAAGGTTCATTCCCAGGAGGTCATATCCCTGTAAAGAAAAGGTGATTGTAGATAGAGAGCTTAAGGTCACATTTGAGTAACAAGGAGGCAGTCAGAGAGCAGGGCTTACAGAGGAGCATGGCTTATAAAATGACTTGATACTTTGCACTTTGGGCTTTCACTGGATTCAATCCTCTGATGAATGACTGATGGCTTCTGGTTGACATGAGATCATTATTCAGGTAATAGAAGTAGTTAAACAGTGAGTTATGCATCATATTAAAAATTTATAAAAATACAAGCATCAATAAGAATAGCAAGGAGTATTAATAACACTATCAGTAAGGCTTTTAGCCAGCTGGAACCTGATCCAGACAGAGAATTAAAACAATTCTCTTAGGCTAAGTACAAGGTCATTTTAAAAGCAATTTTTTCATATAACTGATGAGTTGATTATTCATCAGTTGTATAGTCACAGAATTCTGTTTTAATAATAGCACAAGTACCCCCTCAAGAAACAGTGATAATATCAAGTGCCCTGTGGTTTTCTAAGAATGCTTTTCTTTCTTTCTAATATATGTATTTTTTAGTTATAGATGGACACAATACCTTTTTTTTATTTTTATGTGGTGTTGAGGATTGAACCCAGTGCCTCACTCGTTCTAGGCAGGCGCTCTACCATTGAGCTCCAGCCCCAGCCCCAAGAATGCTTTTCTTATTAAGGGCATTTCAGTATTTACCAAGCGTAATGTTTGTCAGCTGTCGCTTAAGCCTTGATGGGTGAAATTAGCTAATACTTCCATGAGGGCAATCACATCTAAGAGCTCTAAAGTAGGAACAAACACAGCAACAATGATCGAATCCCTCTGTCTTTTAAGGGGGAAAAGTTCTTAGAGCCCATACTGAAGGAGGATTGAATATGCCTCTGTATCCAGTGAAAGCCCAAAGTGCAATGTCCTATTCAAGTGAGGGAAAGCCAAGGCCAAAGACTGGTTCCACAGAGCCATTGAGTTCCATTACATTCTCTCCAGTAAATGACAGGTCACCATTCTCAGTCTTTAGCTGATCAGAGGATCTTATGGTCATTATAGAAGAACAGGGTTTGGAAGGATACCACCCAAGGTAATGAGTACTATCTACTTGACCCATCTTAGTACGATTATGTTGCTCCCAATGTAAGGGTGAATCAGACCTTAAGTGACAATAGTAAGGGGTAAGCATATATATATATATATATATATATATCCATTTCATAACTGGGAAATAATTGCTTTATAATGTAGCTCAAATCATCCTTGGGTTTTTGTTCTGCCATTTTTAATGGTGATGTTATGGTATTATAATATTGTTTTACTCAGTTTTTTCACTGCTCTGACTAAAGGATCTGACCAGAACAATTTTAGAGGAGGAAAAGTTTATTTGAGAGCTCAAGGTTTCAGAGGTCTTAGTCCATAGGCAGCCAGCTCCATTCCTCCAGGCTTGAGGTGAGGCTGAACATCATGATGGAAGAGTATGGCAGAGGGAACCATCTCACATGATGAAGCACAGACAGTCTCCACTTGCCAGATCCAAATATATACCCCAAAGCCACACCTGAATTTCCACTTCCTCCAGCCACACCCTATCACTTCAGTAACCACTCAATTAATCCCCACCAGGGGATTAATTCACTGATCAGGTTAAGACTCTCAAAACCTGTCATTTCTCCTCTGAACCTTCTTGCATTGTCTCACATGTGGACTGTTGGGGAACACCTCACATCCAAACCACAATATGAAAATGTAAAATCATGTCCAGGATGATCAAGAGTTAGATTTATGGGCCAATAATTAGAAACACCTCTAGGAAAACTGGAAGAGTTTGAGAAATTTGACTTAGGAGACAGTTGTTTCATCTGGAAGCTCATGTACTTGTTGAGGGAAACAGACCAGTCGAGAAGCAGCAAGCAGCACTTGGAGAGGAGGAGAACTCCAAACTATTTTACACCATCCCCCAGCCAGCCCAGAGGAGAACACACTACAAATTTTTAGCTCGGATCCCACAACACTCTACATGGCTGAAGGCCTTGTGCAGGGTCTCAACCATAAAGTGAGTTACAGAAACAGATAAGAAGAAATAGGTCTTTTCACAGGCATCTATTGAATCTCTAGCCCTGAAAGAGGGGCTTACATTTCAAGAGGACATAGTAAAGACTCCTAGAGACAGTTATTTATAATCCAAAAGATAGCGACCCTTGGTTAATTAGGATTCCTGAAGAAGAGCTGACGGGGAACTGACCCCTTTCCCCAGGCTCTGTTTTCTTACCATAATGTTTTTATAATTTCATCTTACAACCAGGTCTGGTTTTCCATCACAAGCTAAGCAACCTCATTTGAGACTTCATAGCTTTGGTGACTTTTCCTCAGATTTCTTAACAAGAATTTGGGACAGACAGTTGCTCAGCTAAAGCAAATAGTTCATGGGGCTCATGGGGCCTTTTCTCAGATCAGGGAATGCTTTCACTTTTTTTTTTTTTTTCTTTTTTTGTGGTACCAGGGATTGAACTCAGAGACACCTGACCACTGAGCCACATCCCCAGCCCTATTTTGAGTTTTATTTAGAGACAGGGTCTCCCTGAGTTGCTTAGCACCTCACTTTTACTGAGGCTGTCTTTGAGCTCACGATCCTCCTGTCTCAGCCTCCTGAGCCACTGGGATTATAGGCCCACACCCAACAGGAAATGCTTTTCTTTCTTTTTCTTTTTTTTTTTTTCAGTTGTAAATGGACACAATGATTTATTTTATTCATTTTTTGTGTAGTGCTGAAGATTGAGTCCAGCACCTCACACAAGCTAGGCAAGTGCTCCCCGACTAAACAACAACCCCAGTCCAGGGAATGCTTTTTGACCAAAGTATCTTAATCTTCCTGAAGACTATCTAAGAAACTGGAATTGAATAGGCTATTTGTTTTGTCCATCAGGTGTTTCATGCCAGAATTTTGAAGATTTTTTTTTTTTTTCAGAATTGCTGTAACAATCAGAAAAAGGTCATCAGGACACTGAATGCACTGTAGAATAATGAGATAATTTGAGAAATACAGTGGTATTTATTTATAAAGCTTTAGGGATAATTTTTGAGCATATGCTTGGCTTTTAGCAGTTACTCTTGAGAAATCTCTAGTAGGATTATTCCGACTGACCAAAACAATCCATTACTTAGCTATAATATTTTTTTTTTGCAAGTAGCTAGACTAATTTATATAAATCTGAAATGCTAGGGTGGGAGATTGGACCTGAAGTAAGGCAGTGCATCATGGCTGAAGGCCCCTGTGGAGGAAGTCTGCTCAACTCATGGCAGAGTCAGAAAACAGAGAAAGGGAAAGAGGTCACACGGCAGAGGAACCCTCCCAGGGCACACCCCCAGGGATCTATCTCCTCCAGCCATGTCCCACCTGCTTACAGTTATCACCCAGACCATTCAAATGAGGATGGATTGATTAGTTATAGCTCTCATAATCTAGTCATTTCATCTTGAAACACCTGCATTAATATAAGAGCTTTTAACAGATACCTCACTTCCAAACCATAACACCATTCCAGTTTTTTTTTTTCTAATTGATTATACAAGTAGAATTAATTTTGAAATATCAAAAGAGTCCTGGAGGAGCCAGTATAATTTCAAATTATCATGCATAATTTTAGTTCATTGAATCAGGAATTTACAAAAAAATAACCAGTACATTTAAACCATGAAAAAAAGGAGGAGTTTTGGATGGTGGTTGCCCACTAGGAGCATTCTCAGAGAAGGAGCTTCCTGTAATTAACTCAAGATGAAAGTTCCTTTCTTAGAAACTCAGTATCCACCAAAATGAGGGATGCCCTCCTAGATACTTATATGAGAGATTTTTCTCCTAAGCAGCTGGCAACAAAGTTTTGGAACTTCAGTGAAAAAGGTTTAGAAACTGAGAGGATTTGCCCTCATGATCTGAAGCTGCCAGGGAGATGATAGAGAATAAAAGACTCCTGTGGGCACTTATTTGTGTCCTTGGCAGCATCACAGGGGGAGATGAGTCACTTCAGAACCCAATTCTGACACCGTGTAATGTCAACCCATTCAAACTCAGAAATGGTAAAAGCAAAAAGACTTTACTTGGGTCTTTCAAAGTTTAGGAAAACACAGGATCAGATAACTCTCAATGAGTTCTCCAAAGAAGCTCAGATGTATGTGCAGGGTTTTTAAAAGGAAGAGAAGCTGAGGACAAAGGAAATTTCATAGGTTACTCAAAAAGGAGGATGACTGGTGCAGAAGAGTTATACTAGGATACGTATCACTAGGATGCATATCACTATATATACATGATTGATTGCTGGGACCATTATCTAGGTTGGAAGTTCATTTGTTATTTGTTACAGTTGCAACTGTAGCATTCATGTAAAGATGTTGGCCTAGTTCAACAGTTCACATTCCTCTGCCTTGTTTTAAGAGTTCATTTTCCTGGGTAGTCATAACTTAGTACAGCTGTTCCCCTAACAGCTGCCCGGCTCCATTTGGAAGGGCTCTTTAAACGTTGCCTTTTGGTCATCTTTGTTTTCTGGATTTCACACAAGGTGGAGTTCCCATTCCCTCTCTGTGTGTGCCACCTCCCAGCATCTAAATGCATTCCCCAACCCAGATGCTCATCAAACCTTGTTATTCAAGAGTTCTTATGAAGTTTAATCTCCAGCCCTCTACCTCCTTCCCAGAGGTTAGCGTGTAGGGCTGAAAGTTCCAGTCACTTAGTCTTTTTGGTGACCTGCCCCATGCTGAAGCTATCTTGGGGCTCCGCTTTAAGTTACCTCCTCAGCATAAACTCAGGTCTGATCAAAAGGGGCTTGCTATAAATAACATGAGATACTCCTTTGATCTCAGGAAATCCCCTGGGTTTTAGAAACTCTGTGCCTGGAACCAGAGGTAAAGATCAACATATTTCTTATTATACCATATTAGATTATCTCTTTTGGGTTGAGATGAACTTGATTAAAATGACTTCCCAGTTTTGCTTCTATTAAATGAGCAGAAAGATACATGCTACAACAAAAGGGTAGGAGCTACTGGTGTGAGCCTTAAAATATGATTATCACGTATGTCATGGAACGGATGTCAAACAATATTGGCATGAGAGGTAGTGTGCTTGGGTACATTCAAAGAATGTAGCCTGGGAGGATACCTCAGGTTTTATTTGAAAACAAAACAAAACAAGAAAGGTCACTGAAAATTAGTGTTGTCAGGATCTGGAAAGAACTATTTTGGAAGTGTCTGTGAACAAAACAGAATTCTTAACCTCTGTCCCACAGAAGCAAAGTTGACAAGAATTATTAGAAAATAGACACTTTGCTAAATACCCCATAAAAATTTAATTCAATATTATAGTTGCATAAAGTCCTTAAACCTAAATAGAAAAGTTAAAAAAAAAATAGTTTTCTTCCCTTTAGCAATAGCTCTTACTTCCTATGTTACATGGCCATGGTTGACAGATGGGTTGGAGGGAAGCAAGTTCTCAGGCCTGCTGACAAGAAGGGAGTCCATATCCCCTATAAGGATTTGTAGCAGATCTGCCTTTAATGAAAGGGCCTTAAAAATGCTTTCAGTGGGTTCTAAACCTATTCTTGGCAATTTTGTTTATATTCTAGTAGTTAAATGTTGCTATTCCTTCTTTAGAGCCTCCTAACTCTCTGGATCTTAATGGGACTCATCCTCGGAGAATCAAACTCACAGCTCCAAATATCAATCTTTCCTTGGACCAAAGTGAAGGCTCTATTCTCTCTGACGATAACCTGGACAGTCCAGATGAAATTGACATCAATGTGGATGAACTCGATACCCCCGATGAAGCAGATTCTTTTGAGTACACTGGCCATGGTAAGTCACTAAGTTGACTGCGGTAAATGGTAAGTCGTTGGCTGTGTTAGTCACTTCTCATCACTATGACAAAAATACCCAACATGAACAACTTAAAAAAAGAAAAGTTTATTTGGGGCTATGGTTTCAGACTTTCAGCCCATGGTTGACTAACTCCATTGCTCTGGGTCTGCAGTGAGGCAGACCATCATGCCATAAGGGCATGGCAGGGGAAAGCTGCTCAATTCATGGCAGCCAAGAAGCAGAGGGAAGGAGAAAGCGAGGAGCCAGGGACAAGGAGTAGTTCACTGACCTATTTCCTACAGTCACACGCCACCTGCCTACAGTTACCACCCAGTCGTCCATTCAAAGTATTAACCCATCAAATGAATCAATCCACTGAAGAAGTCTACCTCTCATAATCCAATCTTTTCACCTATGAACATTGCTGCATTTCCTAACACATGAGATTTTAAAAACATATTTAGATCCAAACTGTATCAGTGGTTCCTCCTCTTTATTCAGTCCTTAATCAGTTGTCACCTTCTCAGATAGACCTTCCTTGACTTTTCCCATCAAAGGTGCTTTCCACTTCCCTATTCCTCCCACCCCATCATACCCTATCCCAAGTATTCATTTTATTTTCCATAAATCTCTAATTGAAATTATATTATTTAATTGTTTGCATGTTTATTGTCTTTCTTTTCCCCTTAGAATGTCTGTTCTCCAGAGCAGAGACTTTATTATGTTAAAGGTTAATATTTCCAAAACAGTAGGAAGGAAGAGGAAGTGGAGTCAGTGGAGTAGAGGAAAGACAAAAAGGAAGAAGATGGAAAGTTGCCAGATTAAAGATTGACACTTCTAATTTGAATAGAAGTCTCACTTTAGTTCTTTCCCTTGCTCAATGAAGTTTGGTTTGTCAATAAGTATAGGCAAATATACAGCATTCACTTTAGAAAAAAATAGGGTCTTATGGTTTTTGTTTCACTTTTACCCAGCTGCATTCTCCAAAGTTATGATGTTTCAAAGTCAAAGTGAGACTCTTGGCCACGGCTATTGCTTTTCTTCCTTGTAAAAATTCTTCTAGTCTTAATAAGCAATACTGTACTCAGGCGTGGTGGCACACACCTGTAATCCCAGCTACTCAGGAGCCTGAGACAGGAGGATGGCAAGTCCAAGTTCAGCCTCAGCAGCTTAGTGAGGCTTTAAGCAATTTAGCAAGACCTTGTCTCAAAATTTAAAAAAAAAAAAAAAAAAAAAAGAAAAGAAAGGAAGGAAGGAAGGGCTGGGAATGTAGCTCAGTTTTAGAATACGCCTAGGTTTAATCCCCAGTACCACACACACACACAAAAGCAATACCACAATTAAACAATGCCCTGACTTTTAGAGTCAACTAATCTAGAAGTTTCACTCATAGGAAAATATAATTAGGAAATTCATCAAATTAGCTAATTAATTCAACCAATGGTCATTGAACCAACAGGGTAATACCATGACCAGTACAAACTTAGACCCTGTCTTCCCAGAATTTAAGGCTTTGTTTCCTTAAGTTAAATAAGCAGAAGCAATAAGCTGCTTGTTCTAAAGTTTATTATGTTTAAGTAGAAATTTTATATTGAATTTTCATCATGTTCATGAATTTATTTTTTAAAAAATATTGACTTTTTAGTAGTAGTTGGACACAGTACCTTTATTTTATTTATTTTTATGTGGTTCTGAGGATCGAACCCAAGGCCTCACATGTGGTAGATGAGCTCTCTACCACTGAGACACAACTCCAGCCCTGTTTGTGAATTTCTCTAAGGTTCTCGCTGGTATGCATGGCAGATTGGTTCCAGGACCACAAACAGATACCAAAATCGGAAGATGCTTAAGACCCTTCTATAAAATGATACAGTATTTACATGTAACTAATGTACACCCTCCTACATCCTTTAAATCATTTACTTGTAATACCTAACCCAATATAAGTGCTATAAAAATAGTTGTTTATTGTTTGGGAAATAATGTCAAGATAAAAATGCCTGTGCATATTCAACAGACGAAGGTTTTTTGTTGTTTTTCTCCTGAATATTTTCCATCTGCAGTTTGTTGACTCTGCAGATTTGGAACCCATGGATACAGAGGGCTGCCTACGTAACTGGATATTTGATTTTGTAGGTTGAAATACACAAATATAAAATTAAAGTTTTTCTTTCTTTCTTTCTTTCTTTTTCTTTTTTTTTTTTTTTGGTACCAGGGATTGAACCCAGGGGTGCTTAACCACCTCCCCACCCCTCTTTATTTTTTACTTTGAGACAAGGTCTTGCTAAGTTGCTGAGACTGGCTTTGAACTTGCTATGCTCCTACCTCAGCCTCCTGAGATGTTAGGAAGGAATATCTTGAATTCCTACTTGTTTCTGGCACCCCAGTGAGTCTTCCCCAGCTATTCCATCTATCCCCGCTGCTGCCCCAGCTCTTTTCTTGCTAATGTATTGACTTAAGATCCCTTAGAAGACAGCTATGGCAAGACTCTGCCGGTTCCTCCCTCTCCTCCCCCTTTTACTTTTCTGCTGTGGGGAACTTTGTCACACCACATCTGAACCTTTTATTTTTATAAATAGCAAAACTGTGAAGCAAAGTGGTGTTGGCTGCTGCAAGTTAGTAATTAAAACTGCCACTTGCTGACATAGTTCTTTTTATTTAGTTGACATAATTATGTTGAAAGAGCTAGTTTAATGGCCACAACCCCTCTCCTAGATCTTAAAGGACAGAATTTTAACCTAAGTTTAATTTGAAAATTTACCTTGATTTCCAAATGAAAAGTGTATATTCAAACACTTTTAAACAGATGAACAAAAAAGCATAAGTATTGAAGAGTACATCTGAAGAGCTTTATTTTATAAACATGTAGACATGGGTAACAACTGCATATGAAGGAGGAATATAAATACATTTTGATCCTGAAGCATGAAATAAATGCTTAAATCTTCATGTTTTTGGGATTTCTCATGCAAGTATTTTGAACTAGTGGCTTATTTTCTTCTAAATAAAATTAAGTTTTTCAGGTACGAGTTTTCAGAAGCATAATTAATCTAGTGTAATGAACACTTTTTGAGTGCTTACTATGTGTAGAAGCCATTCAAAGTGCTTCATAGCATTAACTATTTTAATCCTTATGGCAACTCTATAAAATAGGTATGTTTTCTACCACTTGGGAGATGAGACTACCAGGGCACAGAGCGGTTAAATAGTTTGCCTGAGGTCATACAGTCACATACCTAGGAGATGGCAGAGCAACACTCAAGCCCAGAGTTGTTGTTGGTGGCTTCTGGCCCGTGCTACATCCCTAAGAACATACTGACAAAAAGGAGAGCTTCTTTTACTAAATTAGGCTTACCTATGCCACGCCAACATGATAGCCACCTTCACTCTATACCTCCTTTTATCCAACCATTTTCACAATTTGAGGAGTCTTTACAGCCTCAAAGACTTTTATGCCATTTGCCTCTTTTCAATCACAGTAGCCAGTGCATTTTTTTCATATGCAATTTTGCATATGAAAAAAATTTTAAATCTCAATCAAAAGATGTTAAATTGGTCTTCACTTTCAAACCATTTTAATAGTTGCGTCCAAAAAGTTGAGAAATATAATTTAAGCTACCAATATAAGTAAGATTTGATTCCCCTTAATAATTACAGTGTGCCTAAGAGGTCAGAAATATGTAAATAGTGAAGAACTTAGGTGGGCAGTCTTTCATATTAAGAACTATCTTTGTGTTTTTAGATGCTTTATGAATCCTAGAAACTTAAAAATATTCAAAGATCAGAAAAAAATATGACCTATTCCTATTTTCTAAACCAACCACATAGTAATTTTTACCATAACTCAGATCTCAGCAAAGGATTTTATAAGGGAAGTGGAAAAATGGTAAAGAATTTTTGCCTGCATATTCCTGATAAGAATGTTATAGGAAACACTCATGTCCTCTTAACTTTTCCTTCCTAGTTTCCCAAGGGATGCTTAGTGACCTTATCTAAGCTGCTTTTTCTAACACTAATTCCTAATGACAGTTTTCTGGGTTGATAAGCCCCCCAATATTATTTCCAGATAATCAGGGAATTACTTCATTTAACATTCCTATTATGGTTTTCCATATTTTCACAGCCTACAGGCAACCAGCTTATAAAAACAATTTCTTGTTTTAACTCTGCATATAAACTAATCAAGTGTTAAGTTTCCTGGGTCTTACCTACAGCAGCCTTTATGCTGTCTGTAATGGTGTTTTTTGAAAAGAGGATGATTTTTTTTTGGTATTCTCACATTGCTCAGATTTTATACTCAGATTAACTTTCTGCCTTGCTGTTTGTCACCCAAAGAATTTTAAAGATTTCTTAACTGTACATTGGATGTTTTCCTATAACAAGGAAAAGTGCAAACAGAGTGGCTTCTAAGAGTATTCATTTTATCCCTGCAAGACCATCAATAGAAAACTAACCTGCTACACAGGTGCATGTCCCCACAGCAAAGCCACATCTGAACTCGTCTCTAGTTGGTCCATAGGGAGCACAAGAATGGATTCCCTGCTGGGTACAGTGTGCATGCCCATACTCTCAGCAACTTGGGAGGCTGAGGCAGGAAGATCACAAGCTCAAGGCCAGCCTTGGCAACTTAGTGAGACCCTGTCTCAAAATTTTAAGAAAGTTAGAAAAAAATAAAAGACTAGGAATGTAGCTCAGTGGTAAATCGCCCCTGGGTTCAATCCCCAGTACTGCTGTGATGTGTATAGCACAGGACATTCAAGAGCTTGTGCTAGATCATCTCAAAAGTCAAAAGGAAATGTTCAAGTTTACCTCTCCCCACTGTGTATGAGGGTTTAATTATCCTCTACAGTAACCAGGGAGAAAGATGATCACTGAGAAAAGGAAGCAAGCATTTCTTAATGAAGACGGTGTGAGACGAAGCATTGAATTCTCAGGGCCTGGAGATAGAGAATTCAATAAGACTTGGAAGTTTTTGCAAATAGTCAGAAAATGAATGC